GATATACCAGTCTAACTATAGGGAGGTGAAACCAAAACTTTTAATGACGAGAATGCATTTGGTTATTCAGCATGAAATATGATTCTTAGGCACTACATTTCACCTCACTGTTGCCTTGCAAGATTCAATTTGACATCAACTGGGCCAGCATAGTAGTTATCGTACCGATCTGATGATCAGAAGGTCCAAGGTTCGCGCCGCAATACCGCTAACACGCCCAGAACTTTTAGCTATGGGTATGTTATACGAATGCATTATTCGGTTGAAAACCAAACAAAGCCCTTGTGGCGGCGATTACTGCTAACTCGTTGATTTCCTTCTGGTTAGTAGTTTGAGATAAGGAGCGACTATACCCGAACTCCAAGAGCCTCTGACCATGACGTATAACAGGTATATGATTATCAAAGAGATTGAGGCGTCACCCTGAGGAGATAAGTTTTACTTATCACGCCTGCAGTAACCTGCTTTACTTACCTCCCCCCCCCCCAATCAAGTAAGCCCTAATTTACGCCCAGGATATCGAGTTTTCATAGTTTAACCACTTTGTGATCTTGTATGCTTCCAAGATTTATACACTGTTTATATATATATATTTAAGATTATTTGGTTGAGCTAAAACGCTACTTAAGGTAAAAAAGGGTAAAAACATCGGCACACTTAAATACATGTGTATGTTTGTCTTTTTTGGTAAGTACTTATAGATATAACATATATATATAGACTCATACTGACTATGCTGAACAGTGTGTACATACCTATGTATGTGTGTGTGTAAATATAGCTAAAGGTATTTCTAGTTATGTTGGATGTGACGGATTTATTATTACACATTTATTTTAATATCGATGTTAAATTTATATTTAGAAATGTATTAGGTCGTCGAGAAATTAATATCGATTTTTAGATGGAAAAACCCGAACAACTTATATATCAAAACAAAACATTTATTAAATGAATTAGCCTCCATTTTTATCGATGATGCTTTTCCATCTTACAATCAGGTTGATAATGCCCTGATTAAAAAATATCTTGGCTTTGAAGTAAAAAACATGTCGATGTCCTCTTTAACACCTTTCACATTTGCATACGTTTTCCGATTAAGATGGTGTTGCAGCGAACGAAAAAGATGGTAATCTGATGGTGCCATATCTGGTGAATATGGTAGGTGGGGGAGAACTTCCCAACCCAACTCCATAATCTTGTGTTGCGTCAAACGTGTCGCATGTGGACGTGCATTGTTGTGGAGAAGAAGAACACCTTTCCGATTGACGAGTGAAGGGCGTTTCTGATGAAGGGCTTGATTTAAATGTTCCAGTTGCTGACTATAGATTTCTGCATTGACAGTTCGCTGTGGATTGAAGAGTTCGAAATGAATTACTCCTTTAATGTCCCACCAAATGCAAAGCATAACTTTCTGCGGATGGAGTCCAGGTTATGGGGTCGGAAGTGGTTTTTTCTAGGACTGAGCCATTGTTTTTGGCATTTATTATTCGCGTAGAGAATCCATTTTTCATAATCGGTAATAATTATGTCCAAAAATGGTTCACGCGCATTATGCACCAGAAGAGACGAAACAACGTTCACACGTTGGAAATAATGATCATCGGAGAGTTTGTGAAGCACCCAAACACCTTCTTTATGGAGTTTTCCCATATTCCTTAGATGTATTGTTTCATGAGAGACATGCGGTTTCAGGGCCATTTCACGAGTGTGTTACCTTGGGTTAGACTCAAAAAGCGTCTTCAGAGCATCAGTATCAATTCCAACATGTTGGCCCCTGCCATCACAGTTTTTAAGGATAAAGTCACCTGAACGAAATTTGCTGAACCATCGTTGACACTTACGAACGTTCAAAACATTTCCGTAAACGTCTTTGATATTCTTTGTGGCTACAGAGGCGTTGTTTCCCTTCTTGTATTCAAACAGCATTACATGCCGAATGTATGTCTCGTCGTGTGTCATCACTATAAGGGATTAGAGTATACTAAATTTACACATTATATAGGCTACACTAACGTGGCGTTTAGGCGGTCCGTTTAACTATTATACATGATGTACGTTTTTTTTGGGGGGGGGGGTGGTTAATGAAAGTGTTCCAAAACACGACATTAAATTCTTGACGACCTAATACAAAATGTATACCGTTAAATGTGTACTGCGAAACTCTCTCCTGTTCTCTAAAGTTGTAGAAGATTCTCGAGTGTAAGAATCAACAATATATGTGTGTACGTAAACGCTAGTGTAGCTTTGTATTGTTACGTAATCTTAATTTTCGAGAAACTCTCCACACGCCTATAAATATAACCAACGCGACGCGCCTAAATAACAGTATCTATCATTGGTTTGCTATAATTGTTGTGTTATAAACTTCGGAAACTATAACTGTGAGTGTTATAACGCTTATTAATCTGGAAACGTAAGATATTTGACCAGGAACATTTATAAATTTCGAACATTAGAAATCCTTTAACTTCAGTGGATTCATATCAGACATTAGTACTTTTACGAAATCATTACCTAACGACATCGGTAAAAGAAACTCGACCTGTAATCGACGTGTGATCAGCGAGAACTACAAAGCTAGCTTGCTCGCTATTAAGTGAATTGTACCTCCGTCTACTCGAAATTAACTCGCTCATCGTGAATCCTTGATAAGACATCAAGGAAGTTTCAGACTAGAAATAAAACTTTGTATTACTTGTAAGTTTGTAAAACTTTTGTATATAAATCATTGTTTGTAGTAGCTGTTTGTAATAACTGTTATTGTAAATTGTATTATTGTATATGTATTAAAACATATTTATATAAAACAAAGAAAACTGTGTGTATTAATCTTGTTGGCAAATATCATAAATTGGATACATATTGGCATTTATTTAACTACTAAATTTAAATTACAATTTAACTCAGTTTTAGGCTATTGGAAATTGTAATATGTAACATGGTATATATATATATAGACCCATGCTGACTGTGCTGAACAGTGTGTACATACCTATGTATGTGTGTGTGTGTATATATAGATATAAAAAGGTATTTCTATTTATCTTGGTATAATATATATATATATGTTTACCTACTCTAGAGTACATGATCTAAATTCCATTACGTTTAAGTCGCCTTTACTATTGTTCGTTCTAGAAATATTCACGAAACTGTGTAGGTTTCGTTAGAGCTGTGAACCTATTTGGTTAAAGTTCTTTTACTACAAGCTAAAAGCTACCGTGACCAAACGGAGTTCATTTACGTAGCTTGAAACACGTGTTCCCCACCCCAACCTTACTAGTCGTCACTACAGACTTATACACAGGCTGTTTCCTGAAGTATTCTTTAATTTTCTCAGACTCCTGTACTCATTCTCTGTCAAAGTAAGGGGTTGCAACGATATGAAACACTCTACGATTTTTAATACTGCTATCCATACCATACCTTACTATACCGATGGTGAGTCGGCAGTGCAACCGTATATGGATACGCTCGTCCACCGAGTTTATTTTTTCACATTTACGCCAACTTATTTCAAATGAAAGAATATTTTGTGGTATGCTTAAATCATGCCAAATGGAAGCTAGATTTTCAAAGATACAATACTATTTTTGTTATTGCTACAACTTTTATTTGTTTTTGTATAAACAGTGGAGCTGTTTCGAGAGTATTTGAGTCTGGACTGAAAGCCTGATACTAGTAATTTTAAGTCTTTTGTAAACTGTTTTAGTTTCTTTCTACTGTTTAAAATTTAAACGTGTAGTATTATAAACTAATAAAAGCAAATATTATATATTATTAAACCTAAGTGCTAAACAATTCGCCCTCTATTGGTTAGCTGCCTCTGCACGGGTTACTTAACTTTAAGAAGGAGGCCTATTTATATTACGAATCTAAAGTTAGACCTTAGACTGCTTAACATCTTAAGCCTATCGAGGAATAATAAGAATTTATGTGTGTTTTCGATATAAATACATCTCTAAGTAACACAAACTGTTTGTGTAAAAATTGCTTCTGACAGCGTGTGATTTTACTTTTAGGGTAAAATTCGTAAGTTATACACTTCCAAGACTATCATTAATTAGATTAGGTATTTTTTACGAGTGACTGTTTGTCGAGTGATCAGGATATGTAAGTTGCAACTAAAAGTAAAACTAGTAGTTAGTTACAACTTTTAATTTTGTTGTAATTGCAAACAGAAGTTGTGTAGGTTTAAATTTAACAGTACTAATTGCTCTTTGATAATTAACGTAAAAAGAATATCAACGTTATATTGCTTGTATGGTAAAATAAGGCGTGAACACTGAAAATCAACTACTCAATTCTCTAACTAATTCTAACCCATTCCTAAACATTTAATTTTCTATTTGAATTGAAACATTATTGCTGTTTAGTACATGTACTGATATAGACTTAGGGTGGGATGTTATTGTTAGTTGTGAATGGTTTGTATAAATAAACGAGAACAGTTGTCAGACAAATATGTATGATATATTGAAATTTGAAGTATCAAATAAATTATTGTGACTTTCAAAACATTCAGTTTACTTGTAATTATTGTTATAAAATACTCTTTTGAAATATAATTTATTCATTATATTAATTCAAATATGTATTCATATTATTATTATTCTTTAGTATACATTACCTTTGAATGTATATAAAGACAGTTACGGGTATTTATTTATTTATTTGTGAAAGTTTAGTCTGTAAAGACAACTTACTATAGAAATTGTTTTAAGATTTGAATAAGTTTCTACATAAACGGCCCCACAAAAGTATTAACGTCTTAATTCTTAACAACTTATAATACGATAAAGTTGAGGCGATCGGGTATTTTCTTGACGGGAGAAATTTAAGTATAGTTTACAGAAACGCATGAGTTATTGTTTTCCCTCAGTTAGGAAGAATCTCTTACTCTTACTCTAGTGTGTGTGACAATACCTTGCACATCACATATCGAAAGTTGTATTTTCGTTAAAAAGACGCTATGAAGAAAACAAAATCTAACTTACCTTCCTGATTTTGTTATAATCATTTCTGTTCTTTGCTCGAAGAACTTGTCCCATAAATCTTTGTTCTCCAAGTAACATTTAACCTTTTTTAGTTCTTCACAGTTGCACCGTGGTTTGAGGGCGCTAGCGTACGGATTGGAAGAAGCTTTCTTGTGCGAGGTATGTCTCGTCTTCCGTTTAAGGCCGGCCGCGGACTGCGAGAGATCATCCTCGCTCTCATCAGAAAGCGTGTTTACCGAAGAAGACGATTCTTCCTCCTCGTCCGGCGACAGGGGCGATCTCGCATCGTTGTCGTCAGTATCGGAACCTGGCGGCGGAGAACGATGGGGATGTTCCACGGTAACCTTTCCTTTGTCAATCGTAGCCAGTGAGCTTAGCAGGGTTACTTTAGAATCACAAGAACAGCAATCGAGCGGTGGACTTACTGACTTTTCTGAAATGTCTAATACAACGATCACGAGTCAATAACAGAAGATGTTACATAAAAACAAATCACTAATGATGCAATCATTCAAAAACACACACACATATGTAGCTTGACAAGTGGACCTGAATATACTTCTAGAGAAAGAAACTGATAAACATAAAAACGTATATACATATATATATGTCAAAAATATCTAATTCAACGATTAGCTCTATAGAGGGAAGGTAAAATGAAAAGTAGCCTAATAATCATAATAAATATATATACAGATGGGAAGATTAACATAGAAAGTGTATATATTTGTAAATAAAAAAAAATTATAATATATGAATAATCAGACATAAGGAAGACGCCCAGTTTAAAGTCTATTAGTATTCATGCTTTTTGAATTTAAAAATTGTATTTATCAAATTTTGTTAAAATACTATTAAACATCTAAAATCACATAACATTTTTGTAGGCACGCAAAAAAAGTTCGTTTTATTCTTCCTTTTGAATAAAACTCTCGTTTTTTGAAGTTTTCAGATACTTGTTTGTTTGTAATTAAGCACAAAACTACACAATGGGCTGTCTGTGCTCTGCCCACCACGAGTATCGAAACCCGGATTCTAGCGTTGTAAGTCCGCAGACGATACCGCCGTGCCACTGGGGGTATTTCAGATAATAATCGCTCTGTGTGATATACAGTTTATCTTTCAAAGACATCTTTCATCACAATACTATGACTCTCTATATGCCTTAGTGGTTTGGTAAAATTTATTCAAATTAGGTGTTCAGGCGGAAAGCAGAGTACGTATATATATGATACAGATAATCCCATCAAGAGAGAACATATCATATTGTTCATCTTTAGTGTATGCTGTTCGTGAACAATGAACTGTATGAAACAATTGTATCAATTTACATCTCAACTTGCAGCTACTCAGCATTTTACATTGATGTCGCTGGAAATGATGTAGGAACAATTTATGATACAGAGTGCGTGTTGGGCACGTTTGTTTTTTTTTTGTTTTTTTTGTATTCTGCTCATTATTAATGTTTGTCTAATTACAAACCTTGTCGTGAGCTGTTTGTTTATAACACGCCATCAATTATCAAGTAAACAGTGTTAGTTAAACAAAAAAGAACTCGATGCTGTGATACAGAGAAACACAAAGAACTTGATCTAGAAATACAAGGTTTACGTTAGGGTTGCTAAAATGACAGTTTCAATAAAATAATGAAATATATTTTATATCCTACTTCTCTTTTCAAACATCCTAGTCTGAACAATGAACGCATTCCTTCTAACGGTTTTGGTTTCAGTATTAGAATCGTGCTCACATACACTGTATAATTACTCTAGTATGTTAAAAGCTAATACAAACCTTTGCTCTATTAAGGTGTCCAATAGACAGTTAGTTTACAATAAAGGCTGACCTCATTCTACTGTCTGTCTTAGTGTGTAGATATAAAACGTAGAGATATTATTGTTTTATTCCGTGGTCATGGATGTAAGCCATATTAAAATAAGGAGAAAGGTAATATATTTTTCAACTTGTATGGAACATAAATAATTGTAGAGTCTCTGATTCGTTATACTAAGAAATAACATAGGATCAAAAACGTAGATGTATTACAGAAAGAGAAATTCATTAATCCCAACCAAATATTTTCGGAAAGTAAAACTTCCTTCTTCAGGGGGTGAACTGGAATGAATAGGATGAGTAAAACATTAGGAATGTTTCTCGCAAGTCATTGTACCCATTACACGTTCAATGACAAATAGCTGGCGTCAAGAAAGTTATGGACTGCAATAACAACGCAACTCTAGATGACCAGATGGACTGGGCGTGCTTAGTTGTTAACATGCCCGGATGTGAATCCGGCAATTCATGGTTCGTGACCCATTCCTGCAAAAAAAC